TGGGGAGTTTCTGTCTTGAGGTCTTTCAGTACAAGGCAGAAAGATTTGTGCCAACAGTAATCTGTGTATAATAGATCCTGCCTTCTAGCAGCACCAAGGAGGAAATAAGTAACTCTTGCTACTGCCTGGCTAGCTCTGAATGTGTTTACTCTGGCAGTTTTAAGTGAAATAGACCTGGTGCTGTTTTTGTCTTGGCTTTATCACACCTTTGTGAATCCCTGTTTTATTGCATTGCTGAGGCTGATGGATCAGGGTGTGTTCACAAACTCCCTGCACTTGTGCAGATCCATGCTTCAGTGTGTGTCCAGTCGGGAGAAATGCTGCCTGATGTCAAAGGTGACATAAATTATTGTGGAGGTTGGAATGTATCGAAACTGGCAGAGACCATGGGAAGGGGAAGCTACAGTAGACAATTAAGAATGATCATGGACAGGAGGAACCGCAGAAGGCAATTAAAGAGTGACCTGCCCCTGACTGGTACTTGGAAGACGTTGGAACTGGCAAGGAACAGAGACGTCGGAACTGGGAAGAGGATGTCGATAAGAAAATCAGATGGACCTTTCACCTGATGTAACCGTAAGGCAGGCACAGATGTGCTTGGCTAATTGCTTGGAAGTGTATAAATATCGTGTAATCTTTGCAATAAACGATCCAGCTTGCACTCTGCCTCTGGGTCTGTGCCTCCATCCTCACAAATTATTTTTTCAGGACACAATAATGCTCAGAATACATAGAATTCCACCTTGAGTCATCACATATTCCATCTGCTGAATTATATTTTAATCTGAGTTCTTTTATCCGGAATACTACTTTATAATACCCACACAAGTGCTTCACTCAGGGAAAGTTCTCATCAATGGATTTTGCCCAGGTTCTGATTTCTGTATCAATTCTTATGCTTCACACAGTATCACTGTCTAACATGTTTACTGGCTGCTAAACTGCTTGTGTAAGTGTGGTGGCTTTTCAGTTATATCCCATTTTGAGTTCAGCTGTGATTGATTCATTCTGGGTCAAATTCAAGACATTTTCACACATTAGCTACCTCCTGCCTTAAAAGAAAAAACTACCACAGTTTGGATAAGGTTTGGTTTGACTCCCCAGTAATAGATGTGTTACAATAACCTTAGAAATCTTATAATTTAATTTATAATAGAGGTCTTGAACTCTTCCTGTTACTCACATCTTATCCATCTCTGCTGATTTTCCAAGGTTTCTTGACTGCTTTGTTATGTCACAGGGAAATAACGTGGGCGTCTTAGGAAGCTACAAGGGGCTTATCCAAATTAGTTTTGGGTTTAGATGTTCTTATCAGTGACTTCATTCTAACTTCAAAAGAACACTTCATAATTCTAAAGCTCCACACGGTCTTATCAACTAGAACAAAGCTGCTCTTCCTTTGGTCTCCTCTTAGTTATCCACATGAAAAGTGCACTCACAAAATCCAAGGGGTGGCCATTTCAAAATCTGTTTGCCATTATTCTAACAATATTGTGGCTTTTTTTTTTTTTTTCAGCTAAGTACTGAATTCTATAGAACTGCAAGTTGTGCTGGACCATTGAGATGCTATTGCAGCTCTGGAGCTGGGCTCTGCTTGCAGCTATGATTGTGCTTTTCTACCTTTCTGAGCCACTTTTCGAACTGAAAACATTGTACAAAACAAATCCCTCTTTTGCTGTATGATTCCAGTTTTGTCCTTTGCAACTGAACAGAAATCAGACTAAGCTTTGAATGTTCCTTTTATTGTCTGTATTTCCCCCCACTTCATTTATTGGCTGGCTTGCATGTGGTGTATATGTTTAAAGAAATAATAGATGATTTCACAGATACATGATGTCTCAGGTATGCCCAGTAGACTAGGCTGTCACTTGCATGGAAGTTGAGCAGTGTGGGTCCCTCCAAGGACCACGTTTTCGTGATGGCAAAGTCAATAGTGTTGCTAAATGGGAAACCTCGCCCTTTCCTCTACTATTTCCCTTCGTGGTTCCATGCATCATGGCATTCTATTGTGTGTCCTGCCTCTTCCATCTTGAACTGCACTGGTAAAATACATGCAAATCTTTTATGACCATGCTTATGCACAGGCATGAAAAGTGTAGCTTTACATTGTGAAATATATTCTGTCTGGTTTAGAAGAATAGGACTGTTCAGATGTTAAGGGTTCTCTTCTCAAGGCTGGTCCTTCTGATAAATGGAATGGGTTATGTTTCTGTTGGCTGTCTTTGTTACTTCCATCACTATGTTTCCAATTTATCAACATAGTTTTGAGAAATTGTTAGAATATGTTGCACTTGTAAGCACCATGGGGAGGAAAAATATTCATTTATTACTGCTATTGTGCTTGATTATATTATGCATATCCAAAGGACTAAAATGAAATGCCCTCTTTAATTCTCCTCTCACAGTAGACAACATTATCTTTTTTTTCCCCCTCTTTCCAAAACCAGCTTGGAAGTGAATACTTCACATTCATTTTAAATCAGCCATACAGAGTAGGAGAAGTGTGCATTCGGGACAGGGCAGAAGTAACAGGAGCCTGGAGACTTAAGCTCCATTTCTGACTCCGCCTGTAGCACTTTGCAGTCTTGAGCAGTCATTTGACCTCTGGTCTCTCAGTGCATGAAATAGGAAGAACATCAGCTTCCTACAGATGTCTCTAATAATTTGCCAGAATCATGTCTAATCACCTGTGTTTAATATCTCCAAGGGTCTTGCAAAGTCAGTGAAGGCTGAAGCAGCAAATTTTGCATGCAACCAAAAATAAAATGCTCTTGGACAATTAAGACTTGAAGAGCTTCCGAAGGGGCTAACCGAAACCAGGAGAATGGCTCAGAAAGCTGTTTGATGCTGATAAATACTGATAAATGATCTGTCCCAGCCCATCAGGAGAGGGAATTTAGCGTGTATAGGACAAAAGGCTGAACCAGACCCTCAGCACAGCACCTGGTGCAGCCGTAAGTTGCCAGGGTGAGGGTCCAGCTGCCTCCACTTTGGCTTTGCACACACACCTGAGGATGATCACCCAGATTAAAGGAGTGTGGAGCCTCAGAGAACTTTCTAGAGATTTGTGCGTGTAGCTTCTGTCTGCTTCCCCTGAAGAAGGGTGAATTTGGGGTAGTTTGTAGCCATACTGAGAGGGGTGACTACAGTGTAAGCTCTTTTTCTGTTACCCTCTTGGGCAGAGCAGACGTGTCCTGAGGACTGACCCTGAGCAGAATGGCTGAGTGGCTCAACATCCTAGGGTGAGTTGCTCCAACTCTGTGTGTTTCTTGTGGGGATAAGGGAAGATACTCCTTTTGTTAAGGGTAAGGGGAGACTAAAGGGAAGGGTGATCAGGGTTCTGTGATGTCCCAGTTCCAGGCACTGAAAGCCCTTTGTAAATAGAGTTTGTTACTAAGCAGGCTGGGCAGCCCAGTGCTTCCAGGCCAGACCTTTTGAGGTCCTTTTGGGCCTGTAGAGTACTGATCCATTTCCTGCTCCAGCACTGGGACACCCGAGGGGGCAGCTGTGGAGTAACCCTAGGGAGGCTGTGCTGAACTTCATTGCAGCCTGGACCTCTGCCTCCGTGTGTGATTTGCTCCAATGATTAATGACAGTGGCTGTTTAAAAACGTGGTGCTTCGTTTGCAGTCTAAACTTGTCTGGTTGCAGGCTCCAGCCAGGGGCTATTTATCTCTGTGTGCAAGCTCTGGAGGTGGGCACCGTGGGGGAAGGGGTAGGTGCTCAACCGTGGTTGGGGGATGAACCTAGCCATTTTCCCAGTATCTTACAGGGATTGTTTTCTAGCCTTGGGGGTTATGTTGCCTCAAGGGGAAGAAGTCTCCAGCTTTGCCGAGCCTGCCCCTGGCAAGCCCTGTGCCCCTCAGGTACCCCAGCAAAGACCTGATTTCAGTAGTAAACCGTGGCTGTCTTTGGATGGCTGTATTAACAGTGAAGGGGCAGAAGGGCTATTGTGAGTGTTAAGAATTTGAAGGTTAAAAAAAAAAAACACGTTAAGAAGTTGTGTCATCTTAAAATACGAAACCCCTCGTGTTGTCTGGTCAGTGAGCTGCAACAGCCCAGGCTTCTCCGGGGCTGGTATGGCCAGCAAGGGGGTCTGTGACAGTCACCAAATGGGGGTTGTACAGGGGTTTTAAACACATGCTCTGCTGCGGTATAGAGAGTGAGCCTTGCTGCTGGCATCCTTATTGGGGTACTGCTTTTGTGAAATACCCGCATCCTTCCAAAACTGTTTCTCCCGTCTGGGGCTGATTGTGCAGGTCTCCAAGCTCAGGGCTATCCTGGATAGCAAAAGGGGTGGCTCTGTGTGATGCCAGAATGAGCAGGATGGGCACATTGTCATAGAAGGGTTAGGGTTGGAAAGGACCTTAAGATCATCTAGTTCCAACCTGTGAATGAAGCGTCTTTAAAATGATTTATTTCCTACCTTATCTGTGTAACTTTGGTGCGAGTGTGACAGTAGGCACCAGCGTTTGGGTTTTCGCACCGCATCGCTGAAGCGCGGGGGGCTCCCCTCGCCCTGGCTCTCTGTTCATCAGGGAGACCCAGCGCCCCGTGCTCTGCCGATGTCCCGGGGTCGGGCTCCCGGGGGTGCTCCCAGCGCTCAGCCGGGTGGGAGCGCCGAGCCCCGCAGCGTTCCGTTCCCCCCGCTCGGCTCCGCCGGAGGAGAGCCCCTCCGCGCTGGGGTCTGCAGCCAGGCCTGGCAAGGGTTAACGCTGAAGCCCCACGCCCCCTTTGACGGAGTCGGGCCAACCTCGCCAAATTTGAAAAGGCATCCGGGGCCGAGAGTGCGCCCTGGGCGCAGAGATCCGCGCTAGCCCCGCACCCCTGAGCGGGAGCCGCTGCCGCCGGGCTCGGTGTGCCGAGGAACGGGGCTTCCCTTCTCGACCCGCAGTCCCTGTATCCCGGCACCCTTGCCCCGTGGTTACCGGTCCCGGGGGCAGCTCCGCGCCGTGGGATCCCTCTGCAACCCCGGTCGCGGGGGGCACGCGCCTGCCGAGTCCTGTGAGAGGAAAAAAAGGGGTGCAGGAGGCGATCCCCGTTCTTGCAAAAATGCAGTTGGCTCTTTTCTTGTCCTGGTGCTGCTGCCTGCATGGATGCGCGCTGGGGACTGGCTTCCTTTATCAATTCCCAGCATCAACCCTGCAGCACAACTACCCAGAACAGAGCTCCGGCTCGCCGGGCAGCGGCTTCGCCAGTCGCCGGTGAGTAAGACCGGATCCGCCTCCCCGGCGAGGAGGCTGGGCCCCGCTGGTGCCTGCCGTGGGCAGGGTGCGACGGGGTGGCCCCGCTGCCGCCCTCGTCCCTGGTGGGATGGGCAGGCTCCCTACCTGCCCGCAGCGGCGTCCCTCTATGGGCAGGCAGCGACTGGGGAACTGAGGAGCTGAGCTTGGGCAAACCGAACCCGCTGACTTTCCCTTCCCCCCCCCATCCCCAGTCCGCCGGAGAAGGGCCGGTGGCTCCTGCCCCGGGATGCCTACATAGAGAACTGTTATAGCCCTCGGCTGCGAGGAAAGACTTGTTTGGCTCAACCAAGGGAAGACCTTAATTACAGCTCTCTATCCAAGAGCCGCAGCTTTCAAATAGCTGTTTAAAACCACACCTCCCACTCTTCTCCTCTCCCCCCACTCCAAACCAATTTCTAACAAACTTAATGTAAAGCAGTTTTGGTTTAGTGTATCTTGCTGCTTCAGTAGAGCAAACAATTTTGGCTTCTCCCCCTCCCCTCTGTTTTCTCTGGGTATTTCTCTAGAGGTGAAACAGCTGTTCAGATGAATGAGCCGCACTGTATGAAGTGAGAGAGTGGCTTAACCTGATTCCAGTTGTTCTTGAATTTCAGTTCTTGGGGGGGGGGCCCCCCCCCCCCTTGCGATTGCCTTAAATGGGGACTTGGGAATTTAATATTCGGGGCTCGTCCATCCTGCCTCTACCTCTTTTCCTCTTCCCTTTGCTAATACCCACTATGCATGAGTTACACTGCAGTGGAGAAGGGCTGGTGTTCGCCCTGCTTACTTGGGTTAGGAGCTGGGATAAGGCATCTCCACAGCAGCTTTCCACCCGTATGTTAGCAGTACAGGAGTGAGTGCTAGCCTTGTGCCTTGCACGGTGCTTACATATGGTGCATATTTCATCTCCAAGTGGGGGTGGTTTTGTTTGCTGGCCTGTCAAACAGGCCTCAGTCTGTAGGGGGTGTGATGTTAAACTACAGTAACTGTCAAATGGTTTGAAAAGGCAGAAAATTATAGGAGAGTAATGGGATAAACCTATCCCAGCTGGATCTGTTCCAAGGTACCCCCTTCCCAAAGCATGAGCTGCAATGAGAACCACATGTCATTTGTCTTACATATCTATTAGCCTGCGGATCTTTGTTCAGAGCTACCATGCTTACATGAGCACAGACGCTATCTCTGCTCACCAAAGTCCTTCCCCACTTCACGCTCTTGCACGCTTTTCCCATGCCTCAGTTGTTTGGATAGCTGATGCTTTGTCAGGGGAACGTGTCCCTTTCCAAGTCTATAAAGTGGTGTATAAAACCATTTAAAACTGGTTTAAAACAATAATGTTGGGAAAACTGGTAGATTTATTTTATTTTAGGAGTTTCTTTTGTCCAGTGGAACCTTGCCATGTGAGAATCTTCCATTCTGGTTTAAAGCAGAGGGGGAAATAAAACAGGGAGCAGAAAAATAACTGGTGGACATTTTGAAATAAAGCTTGAAGTGCTCAGTCTGCACATTGAAGCAATCTTTGGATGTTTTAATTTCGCCTTGAGTGGTGGAGTTTTGTTGTTGGCAATGTCTAACAGCTTCACTTTCTGATGGGAAAATCTGTGTGGGGAAAACTGTACCCAGCCATAATGTCAGACCTTTGGGGGGGGAGCCTCCTGCAGGGTGCAGCTTCAGGTTGGGATTTAATGTGATTCTGGAGAAGAATGAGGCTTTTTGCTCTAAAGCCTGACATTGATCTGTGTGAGTGTGAAACCTTTTTTAGGGGTCTGAACCAGACTGGTATAAACAGGTGTTGATGTTGTTCAGCGTCCCTTTTGCCACTTAAACAGAGGATCTCTGTAGCACTTTAATTAAGTGAAGCAATAGCTGCTCCATCACAGCAGAGCTTGCTGGCCTCTGCCCTGAAGAGGCTGCAGAGGACACAAGATGGTGGGTAGGTGGTTACTGTCCACATGGCCATTCTCTCTTCTGCGACCTTCCCAGTGAATCCACTGACTTCTGGCACTTTTCCTGGGTACGATTAGCCAGGTATAAGCAGGTCAGAGCCTTGAAAGTTTGTGCTGCAGCTCCAGGCTTTGGTATGTTGCAGCATATATTGATGTGATATACAGCTGACACGTTTCCTTGATACAAGCCACATTACGTTCGTGCAGTTACCCTTTTCTCTCCTTGATCAGCAAGTGAAGCTTCAGTTGGCAGATCCTGGTTATTAGGCCAAAGCCACTTGCAGCCTGTCTGTGCATGTGCTTGGATTACTTTGAAGCTCTGTAGAGGATGTGCAAGAACCAGTAACTGAAATCCCGGCAGCAGTGTGTGTTGATGTTGCATAGATGTAACAATAGCCTCACTATTCTGTTTGAAATTCACATTCAGCACATGTGTTTCTAACTTGATACTGTGTTAAGGTGATGAGAATGAGAAGTGGGTCTTACCCTAAGTGTAAGAATGGAGGGGCTGTCTACCAAGCAGAAACTGTTGTCTGGTTCCAGACTCGGACATGAGAAGCTTTGCTAACTGACTTAAGGAAAGCTTATTCCTGTGCTGGAAGTAGCTTGGTTGTCAAAGAACTCCTTCATCTGTGTTAGCTGTCTTTGGAATTAGTGCTCTCCTAACTTAACTTCTCATCCTATTTTCCTGTACTTTTAAATAGTCGTGCATCAAGCCTTAGTGAATTTGGCTGTGGGAGTTGGAGACTTCTGGGACCACATGCAATGCTTAGACTGGAAACCTCTTTGGATGTGGACATAGCTGAAAGACACACTCCCCCCCTCTGGCCCATCAACCTGAAAGTATTGTAGGATGATTCTCACTGCTAGCTTTACAGTAGCATCACAAAATCAGCTGGCATAGGTGAAAAGACCATCTGTGATAGACTTTCAGAACACTACACCTCAGCCTGAAAGTTCCATTTTGTAAAGGAGCAATAGAACCGTGATGTTACAAATAAGAGGATTGTCCAAACAGGTTTTGTTATCCAGGCTACATTGGGAATTACATATTGGTACTTATTTTGGTCACTCGTAATTCCTAGTGCTTGCTATAGCACTGATGTTTCTTGAGGATGGATATGGGGAGGAAATGAATATTGGACAATTGAAATCTACAAGTGGGAAAGGTATGTGAACTTAATCAGTTTGCTGTACTGTAGCTTGCCTTACTTTCTCCCCTGAAAAACCTGAAGTGTTGGTAGCTTGCAGATAGTTAGGTGATGCTTGAAATACTTGACAGTTATTCCTTGAGGCTGGAAGACTCTTAATAGGTCACTTGAATGGCTGTCAAGATCAAGATGTCTGGGTGGACCAGTTGTAGGTAGATCTGTTCTGTTTAAAATAGCTGCCTGCATTGTGCCTGGTCCTACAGCTATGTGTTTGCTAGTGGAATTGCTCCTCTCCAGCCCCGCTTGAAGGACTATACACAACTGGCACTGTATGGTAATAACGTCCAGCCTCTTAGGTGAGGTTTTAGTACTTTAAAGTAAGTGTAGGTCTCTTTATGTGATAAAAGTCTGTTTTTAATACTAAAAAGTGATCTATAAATCAGCATCCTGATTATGCAGTCTGCCAGAGTGCTTTCAGAACATGTATCTGGAGTTTTCCTGATGGTTGTCTGTTAATTCTGCCTCTACCAGAGATGATTTGAACCTGATTTCAGCCTCAGACTCTGAACCTCTTGTGGCTCTTAAGTGGGTGTGGAATAGAAAACTATACATATTGGAGAAATGTGGTTCTCTTTCCTTGTACTGACAGAATCTTGCTTTCTGAGTCATTCTCTCCATCACTTAATAGTCTGTTCATTGCCTGAGGTCTCTGGTTTTCTATGGTTTGCTGTGGACTGTGGGAGGATGTCAAGCAAACAGACTGGGTTTTGTGTCATGCTGAGTTCTCTGCACTAATTCCCCTTTGAAGCACCCTACCCAGGTAACAGAGGAGGTCTTAAGCTCATCACCAAACCTTGAACTCTTCAGTGTTTATTTCCTGGACTCTACAGCCACAGGATTTTCTTCTGACTTTTGGGGTTCAGTGCTGTAACTTTGCAGTGCCATGAACAGTGAAGCCAATGGTAGTTGTAAGGACCTAGAAACACTGAAATGACTTTGAAATACCAGACGTGACTGCAGTTACTGCAGTAAATTGTATTGGTTTAGGAAATCTCCTAGGGTCTTGCCTTTCCAGCTGCTTGTGTGAATCATTTCCTCTCATGTAGGTTTCATTTCCCAGCTCTAGGAAGAAAAAGGGAGTGGAGAGGCAAAGCAATGGGTGGCAGTGAACTTGTGCTCCCCTTGGGTAAATTAACAAATGTGTCTCTTTCAATAACCCTTATTTGTTCATTTTCTCAAAGCTGAGCTTGTTAGGGCACTGAAATCCTGGTCAAAACGCACCAGGTTAGAAACTTCACAGCTCTGCCCTGAGTGGTTCTGTGACTCCTGGATCATAGAATGTTTACTCCCATCTTTGTTTTATTGGGTTGTGTATTGATAAAGAGGGAAGGAATGAGGTGATGATGAAAGACTCTAATGCACTCCCTTGAAAGAATCTCTTTCAAACACAGAGTGCATTAGGTCTGCTGTATTAGAATAATGGAGCAGCTACTCGTGCTCTTTCTTGCACTAGATTTCTGGCATGTCTGGAAATATTCCTGGTCTGTAAAGCACAGGCTAACTCTCCTGTAGGGTAACACCAGAATTCATCCAACCTCATTTTTGCAATATACTCAAAGCTCTCAACTCACTTTTAATTAGAGAGATGCAGACAGTGGTTAAACTTACTTCCACTGAGGCATAACGTTTATTTTGGGGCTTTGAGCATAAAGCTCCCTGTGCCAACTTGGATATCACCAAGACTCTGTTAAGGATCAGAGTTGCTAAAGATGAAAAAAGCATAATGCTACTAATTGGGTTGCTGTCCTGCAACTTCTCAACTTCTTATATAGGTGAATAATTCTATAGCTCCTGCTTAGTGTTTTTATGCTCAATATGGCAC